CTGCTGAAACGTTGTTGGGAGGATAGATAATTATGGACTGTATCTTCACCGGGCAGTTATTACTGCAGTTTGAACCATTAGTTAAGCTGTGGTAACATGACTGCAGGCTAGAACTGGTTCTGCTTGTTGAGGACCGGAGCAGACTTTGGGCCAGTTACCCCTATCCAGCAGTGCTCGCTGTCGTACAGGGGAAACCAGCTGACCAGCACTGCAACTCCTAAGGCTATCATGTGTTTCTCAGACTTCAAAGCCATGGTCAAGCCTCAGGATTACAGCTGAGAATAAGAATTGAAAATTGTGTAATGGATGACTTAATTCCTAGAACTTCCCACTTCCCTAACAATGGAAATAACTAACTGGAATGTGCTATCTGACCTGGTGGGGAGGCTTTGATGCCCCCTTCTAACCTTTTCAGTCTCTCTAACCTCTTCCACATAACCTGGATGACTTCCCTCTACCCAGTTGCATGGCCTGGTCATCTTCTGTGGGTCATCTACACCCTTTAGGTTCAAAAAAAAGTGATGGATCAAGAAATTGGTGTGAGAGGTCTATAAATCTGCTTCTACAGACATCCTCAGGCATGACAGTTCCTGTTCTCAAGTCATGTTGCTTGGAACAATTTGCCAGAACCACGTAGCTTGCTGTAGCTAATGGGCAGTTAACATAGATCTGTTGTAAGGAGATTTGAGTGCATTCTCACACGCTTTTATAAATTAAGCTTCTTGGAAACTTAATTGCTTTTTGGAAGAATTACTGTAGCATTTCTTGCAGACTTGAAAATAGTATTTCCAAGTTACTTTGCTCCTGGATACAGCAGCTTGTATAAACTGGAAATTGTGACCACTCAAAGATAATCTGGATTAAAAAAACAAAACAAAAGCAAACAAACAACTTCCCCCAACTTTGCAAAACTCCCTGAAGACTCTATGCTAACTGTCCAGGAAGAGTCTGTTGAGGCTTCTGTTGTATGACATGACTTACTGTAGCTTGGTATCTGATCCTTCTGTTGTTCCGTGTGTGATGGCTCGCGTTTCCTCTTCATTATCCATAGGTGCTACCAGTAGGTTCTGAACTTCCGGCTGGCACTCCATCCAGTGAGCCGCTGCCACCTTTTCCAGGACCTTCACTAACTCAGGTGCTACATGACTCAGCAGATTTTATCTGCTTCTTTTCCTTTCAAAGAGCATGTTTCGATTAAACTCTCCATTGCATGTTATTAATGCCTTTTTTTTTTCTTTTCTTTTGGCTGAGTAACCCCTTTTGTGTAACTGTAGTAGTAGCCAGAGTCACTTCAGCACTGGATATGTAGTTTGCCCTTCGGGATGCTCTACCTAGTGTCTGAAGCACAGGAACAATTAATCAGGCTTTGGGGGGTTTTTAGTGTGTTAATCAGAACTTTAGAGGGTTTTTTTGAAAATAAAACACAGGTGAGTGTGTGCATAAAACTTGAACGTGTTTTCTTCTTGAAAAGGGTATAGTAGCAAAATAATGGCTCCTAAGGTAAGCAGTATATACTACAATTAAACGTTAATGAAAATGCAAAGTTGCTGGGCTTTGTGAATTCCTGTTTTGTTTTGGGTTTTTTGTGGGGTTTTTGTTGTTTTTTTCTTTTTTCAGTTGTAATAACTGAAATAGTCTCTGATAATAATAGGCTCTGATTTCACTAGGCTTTCAGATTTGCAAAAGGTCTTTGAAGCTCTTGCACATAAACATGAGTTGAAACGTAACAGTGGCTTCCCTTGCTCAAATTCTGTCCTTGTATGCAATAGTTAGCTTGGATATTTTATATGTAAATTGGACAGGTGTTTAGCTCAATACCACAAAGATTAAATCTGTCTTCACTTTTGTTTAAAAAAAAAGGGAAAAAATCCCCAACCTGTAACTGAAAGAACTGTATTAACACAAAACTGTTTTATGGATCTTCTAAATGCTGTGTAATGAGATGTAACATGGGAACACTACACTTCAATATGCAAAGAAAAGCTGAAAAAATAACCAAACAAAACCAGTGAGAGTGAGTTTTGCTACTTTTGAAAGTTTGAGAGTAAACATGATGATGACATTCTGTAGAATTAAAGTGCATTTGGCACAGAATTATCGTCCCAATTTTATATTCGAACCTGTGAAGAAGATATGATTCAAGTGGGTACCCTGCTTAAGGCTCAGAGTAATTTTCTCTTAAACCTAGTGTTTCCTGTGTTCATGTGCTTCTTATAGTATTTACTTCTTCCACCTGTGACTTGAGTCCACAGTGAATAGTCTTGGAATACGTGTCCAAAACCTACACTTGAAATGGAGTCTGTCCTTTTATAGAAATAATTATTCATTTCAGTTTTAACTATAGTTTTAAAGTAATTCCAATACAACAGCTACAGTATGAAAATTTGTACAATATTTATTAGCAGCATGGCTTGATTTCTTTTTTTCTTTACTTGTTTTGTTTTGTTTTCTTGACTGCTGAGAATTTTTAATACAGACTGTGAGCTAACTTTGGTAAATTCCTTTCCCTGACACTCTGGTAACAATCTTCCTCTCATCTTTCACAACAGAGTTCTTGAATTCGGGTTTCACCTGTGGAAGGGAATTTAAAATGAACTTTAAAGATCATTTTAGTTCTTTGTAAGCTGTTCCTTGTTTGGGATTTACAATAGCTTGATGAGAAGACTTCTAACTGAAAGGATTTAAGCTGTCATACAAAGGAGAAATAGTTTAAATCTACAATTTTCTAACACTGTGTTAAGGCAACTTTGGTTAGTGAGCTGTCATGGATTATATTATGCTACAGCTAAAATGAAAAAAATAATTACAAGTATTAGGGCACTAGTCTTCAAAGATACCATTTCAATATTATTTCCATTTCTCTGTTTCAAATGTGAGAACCATGATATTACCTGGTTCTAAAGACTTGAGTGGAATCGAGCAGCAGGGCATGTTAGCTGCTTTTGTGTAGTTTTATGTTGGTTATGACATTAATAGTCCCTTTTAAAATTTTCCGTCTTTTTTCCTCCAGTGCTCTCTACGCAGAGCCTCTGTCTTTATTCATCAGTTTCTCTAGTTCTCCCAGTAAATGTCAGTATTTTGTCATCTCTTAATCTCTCTTAAAGAAGTTTGCATCAAGTATGCCTGGAGGTTAGAATGGAAACAATCTAGTGAACCTAAGTTACAGTGTGCTGCAAGTTGACATTTCATCCTGTCTATTCCTGCTCCACCATCTTCTTGGTCTTCATCTGATGCAGTAAATGCAAATCAGTGACCTTAACTGAGGAGTTCTCACAGATGGCCTCTGTGACCAGAAGTGCTTCTTGGTTGTCTCTTCTTAATTAAAGCATGTTTAAATCCTTTGTAAGCAATGGGAATCAGTCCACTACTTGGAAACTATTATTCAGTGTGAAAAGGCAGAAAATTGTGCTCTTTATATAAGAAAACTACAAAGGTGAACGTATGGCTCTTGAAACCTATCAGGAAAGGAGTGCTGCTGGATTTGGTTTTATGCAGCTTCTTTCTAGCAGGTTGAATGAGGGTTGTATTCCTGCCCTGTGAGTAATCAGGAAATGGGTATCTTCTGCCTCCAAACTGAGCAAGAAGCTGATTGTCTTATGTAGAGCTTGAAGGTGGTAGTGTTAGCAAGCAGTCCTTCCCCCCACCCCCAGCTTTTGGAGGCAAAAGCTGGTTCATGCCTTTCAGTCAATTCTTTTTGAATCGTGGTTTTGCTGAAGAGGAGGAGGCAACAATTTGATGATAATTCTTATCTGTGTTCTTACCATGAGCAAAGGTAGCAAATGGATCTGGAAACAGCTGGTTAAAATCAATCACACTAAGTTCGTAGTCCTTTTTATCGTTGTTGTCATTGCTTGGAACTGGGCATACTAGTAATATTTTCCCCCACACTCAAAGCACTTGTAGCCACTTATGTGACTCAAGCCACTGCAAAAGGCTTCTTCCTGTTTGTCTTAGGTATTTCTGGCAGGATTTGAGGTATGGAAGAGGCACAAATATAGATTCGTTGCTTCTTGTCCTTTGCAAACAGTGTACCTAATTTCACTTCTCATTTGAACTGTAAAGCCTGTCTAGGAGTGAGACAAACTGGAGACCAACTGGCTCAAATCTAATTGACTGTTAAGAGCATTTGCTGCTATCTGGAAAATTACTGGCTTGCCTTAAGGTAGATAGGCTTGTCTTCCTTACTGCTTCTGTCAGTAGCTCATTACACAGCTTTTTTTTCTTTCCTTAATACCAGACCCCTAATTTGCAGACAAAGTATGTGTCATCTCAAGACCAGTTTTGAACAGTTTGTTCCTTAGTCTGAAATACCTGTTGTGTTTATTCCTCAGTTGCTTTTTGAAGTGTATTGAGATCAATTTTTCAAGCTTCATTTCAGTACCCTTGTTCCATAAGGAAATCTTTATTTCCTGATCATTCTGATATCTCAACTTTTTGTTTACTTGAAGCAAGTATCTTCTTGTGAGCATAAATGATGAGAATTATACAATATTCCAGGTGAAATGTCCTCTTTATTTTGCAGTATTACTGAGTTAAATTAGCTCACTTGTCTGCTAAGCATTTGGATTTCTGAATGGAGTCGCAGAAGTCTGCATCTTCTTGTGCTTTTTTTTTTTTTATTTGGATGGAATTGATATGGGTTTATTCTTAGGGGTTTTTTTGGTTGTGTTTTGAAATGCACAATTCAGGAAGAATGTCATCCTGGCTACCTGTTGAAAGCATCTTTATGCTATTGTGTCCCTCTAACTTTCAATTTCTTGAAAGTGGAAGGTAATGTTTTTATGTTGCTGTGACCTCAGCTTCAGTTCTAAAAATAGATCCAGCTTTTTAATATAAAAGACTTGGAAAGATTAATGATGCTAAAGTTTGGATGGCAATTTCTACTCCATAGGGTCGGAATTGCACCTTAGTGACGTAAGTCAATCTATCCAGATAGCTTCTTTGAGGGAACTTCTAAGTGTGTGTTTGTGGTTTGTTTTGTTTTTTTTTAAATTTGTGTTATCCTCAATCTTGCTTTATCCAGTCTTGCTTTTGAAATTAAGGGCATCTTTTTGAATTTTTCTGTGATTTTTTTTTAATTGACTTCAGTATTTTATATATGATCCATAATACGAATTACCTCCCTTATCCTCCAACCAAAAAAAAAGTGGAACTTGGAGGCTTGCAGCATATTTGCTCTGTTCTTAAGAGTGGGAATGCAAGCTTCCTGCTAACTTCAGGAAAAAAAGAAGTTCCAGTTAATGCGTCTTTTCTGTTTTTTACCAAACGCGTTGCTTAAATTGCTTCCAGTCTTACTGTGCTATACATGTTAAATGTATACGTGTAGGAAGGGAACCCGATAGAAAGCTGACTGCTTTAAGTTTTAGTTTTAAGTATGACAGCTGTTTCTCAAATGTGATGTATTTCTCCTGAGCTGGGACAGCTACTTACTGCTTCCTTTCTCAGTCCCAACAGCCACTGGAAGATCTGGATGCTAAGCTGAGAAGAACCCTTAGTCCAGAGACCGTTCCAGTGACATCTGCCCCTGCCTGTGTATGTTTGCAATGTTGGCAGTTAGTAGTCTTGAAAAACTTTGGTGTTTTCTCAAGGTCATGCTTTTAGGTTACTGCCTTTAATATGACTACACCAGTCTTTAGACTTTTAAAAATAAAAATGAAGAGTCATTGTTCAGTTTGTGGGACTGAGTCAACCAAAAATAGGAAAAATATGTATGTTGCAATAGATGATGTATTTCCTGAGGCTGGTTTTGGTATTAGTTCTTTATCCAGCTTTTTTGGTGATGTCATTAATGTCACCAAACTGGAAAGCAAAGTGACTATGGAATAAGGGAAATAGCACTAAACAATCAGTATGTGGTATGTCAGTCTTAATTTGGGAGGGATATTTAAAGTGTGGATCTGAAATTTTAAAATACTATAATAATAAACTTTCCTCGAAAATGAAGATAATGATTGACATTGTGACCTCCAAGTGGATACTTACGCATTACTTCTGCAAAGCAGAAGGGGATGTTCTGCTGACAGCCTTGGGGTCATAAGGCGTGCAAAATCTCCTCTTGCTGACGTTGCTTGCTTTGGAGGTTAAAAACTCTTGCATTTGTCTCATCATGGGTCATACTTTGACCCTGGTGGAAATAAAAGGTTATTTATGTGATGTGCAGTATGGTGGATTTGGCGGCATTCAAACTGCTGAATCTTTTAATTTTATTTTGTTTTGTTTTCTCCATTGAACCTCTAGTCTGTGCCCTCAGTAGCATCTACAACGGTTACTGGGCTGGTGTCCACAGCAACACAGTCTCTGAAGGATGGTAAGACAGCCTTGATTATTTCAGATGGTTTCTCAGCATGGAAATATAATCTAAAATTGAACAGACTAGCAACTTGGAAGGATATAGTCTTTTTTAGTAAGTTGTACAATGGCAATTCCTTAAGGATCATATTAGTTTTTAGTAACTAGATGGAAATTTTCCACTGTAGACCAGGAGAGGGGAATGATATTTGCGTATTGTAGTAACTCATTTAGGATTTAAAGCTGTCCAAAATGCTAAATTAAGACTTGCAAAGAATCTGCAGTATGCTGCTAAGGTACTGCTTCAGGAGTGGAAGGAACTGTTTTCTGTCTTTTGTTCTTGGCAACAACAGTAAGACTTCTCATTTTGCATCATCATGCTGTGTTCTATATGTAGGATGCCTCTTCCTAACCTGAAAGAGTTTTTCTTTTCCATTTAAATAGAGCAATGAAGGTTAAACTACTAAAAATTTAGGAAAGGTGGTAGGAGAACCAGCCTCCCTTCTGGCTGATTTAGAACAATGGAAGGTTGACTTGGATGATCGACAATTCAAGTCTACATGATCAATGACTTTCAAATCTAAATTGGGGCGGGGGGAGGAATTCAACAATGTGCAAAACAGTCTGAGACTTTCCTATCAGTATTCCACTAACTGTTTTAACTTTAAAAATCTTTTTTTAAAAGAAACTGTTGATGTGGTACTAAGATTATTTCTGAACTATCTAGTAAACATTATTTAACTTGCATGTGCCTCTGAAGTTCAATGACAAACCTTCAAAAGCTAATAATACCAATAGGGAAAAAAAATATTCCCATTTTGGTATGTCAGTAGTGAACTGTACCATAGAACTGCTAGAAAATGAGTTGGGTTTTGCCTGCTGAAGTTTGCAAGGTAAAAGTAAACAAACTGGGAAGTTGCTTAATAAACACAGCAAGCTGTCCAATAGAACTAATTTAAAAATAGAGTGTTATTTCTCAGCTTGGTAACCTTATACTGCCAGTGCATGCAGCAACAAAATTAGGAGCTGACACCTAAGAGTCCAGCTCTGAAAGCTTCAGATAGACTGCTTTCAGTAGATGTGGCTTATAGCATTTCTTCAATTTACCACTTTTCTATTAATAAATTGTCCCCAGTATTTGAGAAATTTAGGTAGTCAGTGTGGGTATTGAATTAAAATAAGCTTATTCTTACATAAACATGAGTTCTGTTTTTTATTCTTCGGCTATTTCACATCCCTGTTTGAAATCAGTGTGGTTTTTACTGCTATCTAAAAGTGCACTTCTAGCAAGTATGCAGGGAAACTTCCTAGAAAAATACTTCACTTCAATATTGCAGTTTGATATTCTACCTAGAAAAGCTGAAAAAAGAGATCAAGTTTCACAAATCCAAAGGCTTGTTAGGAGTTAATTGATAGTTGAGTTTGACGTAGATAAAAAGTAATGATTGGAGATCAAATAATTTGTTGCTCATTTTCTTCTTAATCCCATTCTCCTTTTGCTTAGCTTCTGCATCGTGTGGTGGAGAGAGCAGTGGTATGGCTACCACAGCTGGAGCCGGGGTTCTTAAGATGGGACGGTTTCAGGTAGGGGAAGTTAAACTGATCTGGTTGTTGATACAGGATCTTTGCTGAGCAGTTCTTGCATAGCGCCCACTCGGTGTGCCTCAGGGCGGGAGAAAATGTCCACATTGAGCTTGTGAGTGCAGTGCTTTGTGCAGATGCTGTTTTCGTTCAGGGCAGACTTGCAGTAGATTACGCAGGTCTGGAATTGTGAATAGAGCATTTCATCACGTCAGGCCTTAGCTGTGTAACTGTTGGCCTTGGTCTTTAACGTTAGGCACTTTTTGGCTAACAATGCTCGGATGTTCAATGTATTATATCCTGTTCGTGAAGGAAGTGCCCTCTTGGTCTGCTGTGTTTCTTGGAGTTAATCCTCCAGAATGCTTAGAAGTACAGTTTTGTGTGGCAGTGTGTTACTTGGAGGGAAGCGGTAGCTTGCTTTGTGGCGTACCAAGGAAATGAGTTATTTTCCCGTCTCAGATGCATCTTACTATTAAGGTAAATAAAAACATTATGTTAAGGAAGAACTAAGAAAGTCTCCATGACTGTATTTCTATTCTAGGTATCTGTGGCAGTGGATGATGTGCTAAAAGAGGGTGACAAACCTGAAACTAAGCCTGTGCAATTTGAAACCACTGATTCTTCATCTCTTTCTGGCAGTAGCCCAGAGAGTACACTGGTAAAGCAGGCTGGCACTTGGAAAAGTGAGGCTGTTGCTGACTCTTCCATGGATGTGGTAGATGGCATTCCTCAGACAGTTCCTGCGCTGCAATTACCAGTAGATGTTGGTCAGCCTACTAAGGTCGGGCGCTTTCAGGTAACAACAACGACGGATCAAGTGGGGCGCTTTTCAGTGTCAAAGACTCAGGATGAGGTCACCTGTGCAGAGAAGGAGCCAATGACTCTTCCTCTCTCTGTGGACTTGGAACAAGTGGCTGCTTCAGCTGCAGCTCCGAAGAAAGAGTTGGAGTCAAGGCAGTCCCCACACATGAATGGTCCATCCTCTGAACCGGAGGCCGCCTTCTTGAGCGGAATGGTGAAGGATTTGGATGACGGCTCGGGGAGCCCAGACTCCCTCCAGCTCCTGGGGTCAAAGATCAGCCTCCCCGTTCAGAGCCTTAGCAACTCATTCAACTCTTCCTACATGAGCAGTGACAATGAGTCGGATATTGAAGATGAAGACTTGAAATTGGAACTCCGTCGGTTACGTGAGAAGTAAGGCTTTTTTCCTTCTGTGGTTGTGTATGAAATATATGAGGGGGGATTAATATGAATTTCATCTGTACTTTACTCTTCATAAAGAAGAAAAGTAAACAACCTTTGCTAAGCGTCAGGACCCATTGTCAGTGTTTATGTGGGAAGTAAGATTCTTTAGTGGGAAAGTAGTACGCAATTATAACAAAAAAGGCACATACATGTTTGCTGTGCTTAATTTTCTAATCTGTAACCTTGTTGCATGTATTTATATGTAGATTGATTGCTGTACTGTGGATAAGACTGCAGATGTATAGAAGCATTTTGCATATCGCTGAAGTTTAGTATTTAGTGGGAGTAGCGGTGTCTCATTTGAAAATGACACACAACTCTCTGCATTTCTGATTTGCATTTCTGGCATTTCTAATGGTTCTCCTTTTCCTGAAGAATCCCTGTTGGCTCAGAAAAAAAAAATTTAGAAGTCAAACAGTGTGACCTACTAATTTGTTTATATTGGAAGTTGAACTTTTTTTTGGGCAGCTGGCAATTTTAAATCTTGTGTATGCAGCTGCTCTAAAAAAACACCTGAGGCAATACAAATGTAGAAGTAAGTCTCCAAGGCCATATATCTCAGCAAATGTGTAGTCTAGCTATTCCTGTAGCATTTTAATACTGAATGATTTGATCTTCTTACAGTAGGTGTATGTTCTTGCTTGTACTTCCACTTATCCTGGTTTTATGATTGCAGTGTTGGGAACTTTGTGTTGAAATTCTAGCCAGGGTTGGGGCACAGCGGAAAATGGCAAGTGTTCTGCTGTTGTGGGTTCAGTGGTTATTTGAGGAAAAGATTTTATTTTATCCTTTCTTAAATGTTAATGGGAGTTTGACCAAAGAAGCTGGTCAAGTTTTACTGGAGGGGAGGAATTGCATGCATGCATGCATGTGTATGCATATAATTTTTATAAGTCATATTCTTTTGTAACTTGTTAGGCACCTTAAAGAGATCCAGGAGCTGCAGAGTCGCCAGAAACAGGAGATTGAGTCACTATACATGAAATTAGGAAAGGCCCCACCTGCAGTAATTATTCCCCCAGCTGCACCCCTTTCAGGAAGGAGGAGACGACCTACTAAAGGAAAAAGCAGCAAGTCCAGTCGTAGCAGCTCCCAGGGAAATAAGAGCCCTCAGCTATCAGGTAAGACTTTCTTCAGTTTTTTTAGTAGATAAACAAGGTACCATCTCTCACTCTTAGATCTACACCTGTGTCTCTGTCTTGCCTTTTGAAGGGGGGGGTGTGTCTGTCCCAGTTCCTCCACTGCCTGAATTACTACACCATTTTTGAAATTGCTTTTGCTGTTTGGTAGTCTTGCTTGTGACTTTTGCAATCTGCTGAAAGATAGTGTTACATTGTTTTGTAAGAGCAGTTTTAAAAGTTGAGTTGTATTTTCTTAGAGATTAGTCATAGGGCTCTGACTAGGAAGAAAAGTGTAAATTTATGGTATGGGGGGAAAACCTGATTTTTTTATCGTTTTATCTTTTTTTTTCCCAAGATAACTACTCTTCTTGCCTCCTGAAACGGATTTTGTGGAATGGGGCTGGTCTCTTCAGCCATCTCCAGAGATTTTTTTTTTTCTACTTTAGTAGCACTTAAGCATGGTATTACTAGTGTCCTAACACTTCAGAAACCTAGTCACAGTTGAGGGATGTTAAAGTAGTGATTTTTTTTTTTAATAGAGTTGTATTTTTTTTGTGCCTGCAAATTGAGAAACAGTTTCAGTTGTCAAGGGTTCCTTTCTTACTAAAACCATTTTTCTAATAAACAGAACTCTAATAGTTCTGTTTACTGTTTGAATGACATGGATGTCAGATGTTTACTGGGTAATTGTAGATGTCTCTCAAATACTGTAGCATTGAGTAAACAATATCAGAGGGCCAGTGCTGCGAGCAGAAATGTTTGTTACTGCTTCCTGGCATTACCAGAGTGAATGTGCATGTTGTGCTGCAATTTCTGTATCCAGTCACCCTGGCTGTTCACTTCTGTTTTGTTACATGATAGGGGAGCTATGTGTGAGCATGTGACAGTGAGCTAGCACAGAGCTGCCTTAAAATTTAGGTAAATAAGAATTTTTCTAATCTTGCTGCTTTCCCAGAAACTGGGAGTAGTTCCCTCCCCTTCTCTTGCCTGGATTGTCATGCTTGACCAGAGGATGATAGCCGTTTTTCTTTCTTCCCCTCCACCACAGCACTTCTTCCTGTGTCACTAGTGTAAGAGCTCAACTGATCATTTGAGTTACTTAGTAATGACTTCACTCCCTAGTAAAGGTTCCAGACAAACTTCCCTCTGGTTTTCTCTCCTGTCCCTTGGAAACAATGACAAAAGCTTTGAAAATGATGTGGGGAGAGCGAAATGTTGAACGACTTTTTGTCTTCCTTCTTCCTCTAGGCAATCTGTCAGCTCAAAGTGCACCATCAGTCTTGCCCCCACAGCAGACTCTTCATCCTCCTGGTAGTGTACCAGAGACTGGGCAGAACCATTTGTTACAGCCCCTCAAACCTTCACCTTCTAGCGAAAATCTCTACTCTGCCTTTACCAGTGATGGTGCCCTTTCGGTACCAAGCCTTTCGGCACCAGGCCAAGGTAAGACTTTAAATGGAATTCATGTCGAGTCTCGCACCTTTGTTACTGGTGAACCAACAGTCAACTTGATGACGCTTGATTTGTAATACATAGTGTAAAGCAGATCGGTCTCCAACCTATGCGTGGAGGCTGATAAGGGTGGGTTTGGTTTTTTTTTGCAGCTAGATTTCTACCTTCTCACATAGGTGATATGTGAGGTGTTTGAAGTAATGACTGTATAGCGCATGGCCCTGTCTGCTGTGATGAAAGCACCAAGGAGAGTACAAAAGAGTGCAGTATGGTGGTGGCAAGCAATGTTCTTCTGACCTGGGGGGAAGGTATTGGCTGAAAGGATGAGAGACAGAATGGAATGGGGGATTGGGAATGTGACATGAGACTAAGGAAGGGGCAGAGCAGCTTTGGTATTAATAGATAATTGAAATGGTAGGAAATTTCTGAAGACTCAGAATCCTTTTAGACTTCCAAACTGCTTTGGCTGTTTCTGTCAATGGAATTTTTAACAATAAAAGTTAAAAAAGGCTCATGTTCTGCAACTGTGAGTTAAAGAATTATCCTAGAAGAAAGAGTTAGTGTAGGAGGATGGAATGGTAGGAATAATAAATTGTTCACCTACTCAAGTTACTCAAGTTGTGGATTGCTTGTTACTACTTAGTATGTTATCAAATAATTTCTCAGACGCAGCTCTGATTTATTTGGTAGGGAGGGCTTTTTTGCTTGCCAGTCATTAAAGCGATGATAGCTTGATTCCTTTACTTCTCTGACCTTAGCTGTTCAAGTTTTGTTTCCCCTTGAACATCTTTTTGAGAAGCTTTGCCATAGACTGATTGAATACATCAATTCTAATGCATGTTTTTCCTGAAACTGGAGAAGTACAGAGAGAAAATGGAAACCAGCTTTTTGGAAGAATTTTCTATAGAGGTTTTTTAATGAACTGTTTCAAGTATTTTGGAGTTACTTGAATCATCTCCCTGTATGTACAGTTGTGCAGTACCGTTTTATGATTCGATACTTTTGCCAGGATTTGGCTTTCCTATAGATTGCAGCCTTACTGTTGGATTACGTACTGGAGAGTAACACTGCAAACTTGGCCTAACGTCTGGAGGTATTGGAGGGAGTCTCTTCACTCCGTATATTGTCTGCATACTCTTTGGTCCACACTTTGAGGCTTATTCTTGTGTGTCGTGTTAATGCATTTCACCCTTCCAACCTCAAGTTGCTAACATCTTGTAGTGGTGTTCTGTCTCTTCTCCTCTCCTTTCTCTGTTCTTCCTGTTTTTGTTTTCTCACAGGCTGTGCGAAGTTTAACTGTGCATCTGAGAGAGTGACGTTCAAGCCTGGTGGCAGGAGGACCCGATTTCTGAGTACGCCCTGCTTGGCTCTTTGTGTGTAACACCTTTACTCCTTCCTTGTCTGTTTTTTGTTTTGTCTTTTTGTTGTTTTGGTTTCTTTTTTCTGCTGCTTGGATCTGTTTTCATGCAGCCCATTCTCATCTCTCCACCTTGTATTCCCTCCCATCCCATGGCTCAGCTGAGCTGCTCTTAGCACACCTTTAGAAGTTTGGGTTCTCGTGCTAGGTATTCTCTATTGTTAAACTCAAAATAACAAGCACTCACTTTCTCTAAGCTTTTAGTGGAAAGTTTTTTCAGGACAGGTCAGTGAAATGACAGAAACTGGGGAGAGTTAACAAATTCTGGGTGGATGGGCATTTTCTTTTGGCCTGCCTTAATTACACATGAGGGTATGTTAGCTGACATGAGACTTGGAGGGGAGGTAGTCTTTCTAGTGGAATAGCGAGGAAGATTTGTTTTCCAAATTACTTCTTTGTTGGGCAGTGCTGTAACTGATGGGGGGAATATGTTGACTTCCTCCAGCAGTACGCTTACTATGCAAGTCGGATGTGGTTTTGCATGTTCTCAGCACTAGTGCTGATGACAGTGCAGAGCATTGATGCCACCTGTAGGCAGTTAATATGACTACTTAGGTTCATTAGCAGATGGATAGCTAAAGATTGAAGTGTTGAGGGTTTTAAAATTACTTAGAGAATATTTTCAGGCAAGCTCAAAAGATCCTTACCCCCTAATGGGCCCAGGTCTAGATGTTTTTACCGTGAATTGGAGATACACTAAATGTGCAACAAATAGCAGTAAAGGTGGGTAAAAAGACATCTTCAGACATCCTGTCAACCCTCACGAGTTACCTTGCACCCCTTTTTGAAATCCTTTCATTTGTACTTACATTAGGCCAGATTCACAAGAGAGCCTCAAACTTCTGATGTGATCGAAGTAATGATACGCTTGAGCAGAGGCTGCTGATGTGATGCTTTTTATTGGGAGTGCTGCCACATCTCCCGTGCTGCTTCTGCAGGCTGGACCCCTTAAACATTCAACATTTGTTTCCCACCCTCTGGAATGACTTACATGAGAAAGCTTTTAAGTGCTGTAAAGAGACCGTCGGTGGCTGCGCTGCATGACAGTACCATGCATCTGTAGCATCTGTCTCGCTGCAGTTGGCAGTAGCACAGCTGAGCCAGAGAGTTGTGTGCAAGGACTAGGCCTGGCCTTCTGCAGAGACAGCTGCAATGCAACCAGCTCCATCCTGTGAGAAGGGAGCGAGTCTGAGGGAGGGGATGCTTTTTCTTGGCTGTTCAGTTTTGCAATGATACCTCTAGTCCACTGCATTGGATTTGGGGATGTAAGTACTCATGGCGTTTATTTTTTCAAATTGAGCAGCTTTGAGTGTTTTTGCTAGGTATATTAATGTGTAGATGTGCACTAACTGACATCTGCAATCTCAAGATTTATGGCTCCTTTCTTGGAAGAATTTAACTTCTTACCAAAGCTAACTCTTTCTAAAATCATCTTTAGGCTGGCCTGTCCTTTTTTGGGGTAGGGAGTATAAAGAACAGCCGTTCTGTTTCTAGAACTTACAATGAACTGAATATATGAGGGTATCGTTTACTTACAAGGCCTTGGCTTGCTGCAAATTGACCATCATCCGGCTATAAGAGTACTTGAGCATGTATATATCTTGCTTATGGGACTGGTGCTAAGGGAAATGGATTTCTTTTCAAAAGTGTGTTGTAGCTGTCCTGTAAAAGCAGGTAATACTTGGCATGGCACAGCTTGGCCTGGCACTTGGCTTATTGCTGGTTGCTTGCTTCCTGGAGTCTTGTCCTTGAAATGCTATTGCAGACTGTTGTGGAGAGTGACCACTGGAGAAGATGCTGGGTTAGAATCAGCGGTGTTGAGAAAACAGTGCAGTAATTGATGCTTTAAACTGTGCAGCTGGAGAAACAGAGTGGTACAGCGTGGCAGGGAATGTCTGAACTATTCAACGGATCTGAGAAAACAGGGTGACAAAGTAAAAGCACTTGACCTATCAAATCTTTGTCATGTTGTAAACCAGTTGAACTTTGATACTTGTAAAATGCCTCCGACATTCTGACTGAAATGGAAGATGTATTTGCTTTTCCTTTTGTGATAACAGCCAGTTGTGACAGTAATGTCTCCTGACATTCTTCACTACCGTTTGGGAATCCTGAAAAATAAATGTAGGAGGCTGGGCCTCTTCTCTTTCTGAAAGTACAACTGATTAAACTGTCAGACCAGTCTTTGGGTTTTTTCTGGAATGTCCCAGTAGTGACCATAAGAGCCCTGCTGTGCCGTGTCCTCTGTTTCTCACCAAGCTTTTTGTACTGTTTGCTGATACTAAACATTTCTCACTGTTTCTCTTATCTTTAACAAATTACTCTCTCTTTGTGCTTCAGGGAAGATGGTGAAAAAAGTCTGTCCTTGCAACCAGCTCTGTAGTAATTATCTTATTTCTGTTATCTCCGATTCCTGATTGTAAAGCTATTCATCAGCTTTTTCTGGTCACTGAAGCCTTACCTCCCTGACTCTGTCTCCAGCACAGCATCTGTCTGTCTATGTTATGCCCTCTAATGTGTACTCTGTCATTAGTATATTGAATAGCCTGGCTATTACTCTTGCAGACGAGTGGAGGCAGGCAGAACCTTACCTTCACTGTGGAACTCGTTGCTCATCGCTAAAGAGAGCGAATTGAGCAGCAGGGTCAGTTGCTCGCTGTAATGTGCTAGAGTTGTACCTTTGAGCAGCTGGTTTGTTTACAGACCTGATGGGGCTTGCCACCTCAGTGATGGATCCCATTGCAGACGCTCCGTCAACGTTTTAAAAGAATAAGAGTAAGCCATCAGCGATTTCCAGTGTGTCTCCCAAAGCAAGAGGTGTTTAGAAAAGCCTGTGTGTGCTTATGTCATTTAAGACTGTTTTAAAGGTGTCTTTTGACTGCTGGTTTTGGGGCGGGGGGGGAGCTGGAATAAAAGGACAGAATGAAGGCGTTATAAGGTAGCAGGCTGGAGAGAGAGAGAAGCCTGTTTCACTTCAGGTCCTTCATGTCAGAGCAGAACTGGGGACGGCTGCTGTGACCGGAATGTGGGGGGTTGTTTCCATTGAATGCTACAAGTTGAAGCACTTCCTTTTCAGACTCTTCTGGATGGCAGTTTCTGCAGGCTGTGACCACATCAGAGCTAAAATGTGAAATTCCTGAGAAGTCATTTTTTAAATTAACGTTATGTGGGAGGTTTAGTAATTGCATAGCTCACCTGTAATGGTGTGGGCAGGTCTGGCTGTGAGCTGAGATGGGAGCTCCCTAACAAAATCACTTTTGGAGACCAAGCTCTCACAACCTCCCAACTCTCCCACCCTGAACCAATCCAGTCCTTTTCAAAACACTTAAACTTTCCTAAATGATCTTTCACATCTTTGGCCGAATGCACTGTAGTATATACCTTGAGGAATTCTCTCCCTTCTGTGGCCCGAGGAAGCTCTCCAGTGTAGGTCTGGGATCCAGTGTGCTTACTGATTAAAGTGGAAACATGAAATATCAAAAGCAGATACTGACCATCGTGAAGAGGATGAGATCGAGTGTGTCAATCCCTGCATGAACCCTCATGGTGGAATGTGATTATTACTGGTTTTCACAGCTCCCTCCGAGTACCTCTGTCTTGCTTTTGCATCATTTGTCTTTAATTTCACCTTTCACATCATTGTTCTTAGTAAATAATTGTATTCTGAGCCCTTTGCACATGATGCATGCTTAAGGTTGTTCTTATTTCACTGTAGATTTCCCTTGCCACCTTACAGCGTGTTCCTATTTACTCTTCATCTGAGCTGCAGCTGCTCACCCTGGTCAGGGAACCCTATTCTTTCCTTTCCGTGGGGACTGTTGCATGCGCCTGCCTGCCTGTAACAACTGCTGCCCCACCTGTGGGTGCCCGGACCGGGACCCACTTCCATGCTTGAGCTGGAACTGGTGGGAGGGATACGTATCCTTCCCTACTCAGCACTACTAGAGGCAGTAACACTTTGCTTATTTGTCCTGCATAGTAAGTATGTCACCTTCCTAATTCACTCCTCAATATGAAACATTCCTGCAGGGGTTTGGAGCCAGTTCTTTCTTTGATACAGTGATTGCAAGGAATGTGGCCGATAGCCAGGGAAAGTGGAACAGGTGACGTAGCTGTCAGGCAAGAGACAGTGACTCCGCCATTTGGCCTTTGCAACAGAGAGATGATTTTCATTGTTGGCATTTTCGATGCTCTACTTTTAATCAGTTTTCTTCAGAGATGCCTGCCATAAACTCAGGTTTTCTTGAATTTCCCAGTTGCGGTCTTCAGAGCAAGCAAGTAGAAACACTTGAGGAACTTTGAGAACCAAGTAGGTGTGGATGTGAGTTTGCAAGGAGGTTTAGCACTGCTGTGGCCAAACAGTTATTTCGTCATATTTGATTGGTTTTGTAAGAAACAGATTTGTAAAATCTAGATTCACTCCACCTTTACCACGTCCTTCAGAAGCAGTCTGTTGCCCTAATGGTCAACAGTCCTTTCCACATCTCTAAATGAGGACGCTTTGCCATGCGGCTGGGAATTTAGGAAGCTTACTTGATGGCATACAATTTCTTTGATTCCTATTATGAGGTCTGCCTTTGAAAAGCTTAAATTTGAGTGCAGTTAGATAGCCTCACTGCCCCCCTCACACTTATAAGATATCTCAAACAAAGCTTCTAGATTTTTTATTTTATTTTTTTTTCTACAGGATAATGTTCAGCAAGCTTTCTAGCAGAACCAAAGCCTGATATTTATGTGAAGGGTTTTTTGTGTTCTTGCAGTCAGCCCAATGAATAGGAAAAACTTGTCAAATCACGTCTGAGGAACTACTCTCATTTCTGCCTTCTTTAAGCTGTATTAGTTGTTTGCATCTGAAATGCTTGTTCTTCTGACATAGGAAATCTGAACATAATGGCAAAAAAATGCTTTCAGAGGCAAAAAGCAAAATTTAATGCAGTGCAGACTTCCCCTGCTGATCCTGGCTGTTTGGTGGATGAAGACAGTCCCATCTGGTTATCCTCAAGAACAGAAGTATGGCAGCTATTGGAAACAACAGTTGCTGTTTCTCACTGTGGCTTTTTTGTGTAATCCGGGTGAATTTTTTTCTTCATTTTACAAAGTGGAGATAATTTGCTACAGAGCAGCTGGCGATGCTGATTGTACTGCTCCTTATTCAGCATCCAGCATTGTCCTCCAAGCTGGAATTGACCTGTGCCAGTAGTGGTTGCTGCTACTTAAAAGGCATAGGATGAGAGAATGACGTGACCGTACTGTCATCCAGTGCTGAAATCTAATCTCCTTTTTCCTTTACAAAGCCCTGTAGGCTGCTACCTTTCCCCTCTTAAGATGACCACTTGCAGCACTTCTTGTAAAGTAAATGTATCTGTGAAATACTCTTAATCTGAGAAAATGCCTGTAGGAGCCCTCGTAGTTCCCACGTCAGTGTGTCCTGGAATTGAAACTTAGAATTAACCTGCATGGCATTTTAACTGGCTCTCTATTGATGTACCATTACCACGATTCTTAAATTTACGGGAGAAAGGTGATCTTTAACCTAAGTTTTGATTCCTGGTTTTTTTGTGTTTGTAGGGACCAGCAGCACTAACACAGTTGGGGCTACAGTAAACAGCCAAGCACCCCAGTCGCAGCCCACTGCTATTGCCTCAAGCCGGAAAGGGACTTTCACAGATGACCTGCACAAGCTGGTAGATAACTGGGCCCGAGATGCCATGAACCTGTCTGGCAAGAAAGTTGGCAAAGGGCATAGCAACTCTGAGGTAAGATTAACCCGTGAACATTTATGGTAAGAAGCTGTTGGTGTCGTTGCTATCTCATGGGGTGTCAAAGACAGCTAGGGTACAGTTGCCGTGTAGCTTGGACAACTGCTCTAGAGAACCGTTGGCTCTGTCGTTTACGTGCAGGGTCCTGTCACCTGTGATGGAAGGGAAGGGGAGGGATCACTAAAGAGGAGGGCCGTGACATCCATTGGGAGCGGCTTGTGGAGCAAGGGTTGAGCCTGTGGGGTTTACGCACAGTTGTGTAACATCTCCTGGGGGTTGGGGTTTCTTTCAGGGCCCTGGAATGGCAAGAAAATTCTCCGCACCAGGTCAGCTCTGTATCTCTATGACATCTTCCCTGGGTGCTACGCCCATCTCTGCAGCATCAGCTACCTCTTTAGGTCCCTTCACGAAGGCTATGTGCCCTCCGCAGCAGTACGGTTATCCAGCAGCCTCTTTTGCCACTCCGTGGAGTGGGACGGGTGGTCCGGCGCAGCCACCGCTCGGCCAGTTCCAGCCCGTAGGTGCCCCATCTTTGCAAAGCTTCAACATCAGCAATTTGCAAAAATCGATCAGCAACCCTCCAGGCTCCAACCTGCGGACCACTTAGCCGTGCTCGGAGACCGCGCTGGCTAGACCTCGGGACAGGACGTGGGGAGGGAGACGGGGCCCTGTATCAACTACTAGTGCTGCAATGAACTGGTAGCTCGCCAGACTGGGAATGAATTTCTCTTTTCCAACCATTGCTGTCGACTCCCTGTAAAGGGAGTTTCCCCACATGCTTTCAAGGGGGAGGAGGATGATGATCAGCATCCTTACGATGGGACAGTGCTTTTGACCGAGGGGTTCCACTCTCGTTTGGAACGAGAGCTGCGAAGAGAAGCCATGGGGTCAGTTAACGCAGTCTTGCTGTAAAATGTCTCTCTGGTTTGAGGCTGAATCCAGACGTGTTGAGGTGGGAGAGCTGAATCCTAGCATGAGGCTTTAGCACGCTTCTCGTCTCTCCCTGAAGAACCAAGACCAGGAGAAAAGCTGTCCAAATCCCCCTCCTCTCCCTCTCCCCTGTCAACCGTATCTGGCTCCGAAATGATGGGGCACACGAATGGACTTGCAGTGCAGCCCGTGCTTGATAGGTCATTACTGCTTTAAGTAAGATATTAACAGCTTTGACTGCAGCATTAGAGCAATTTAAATTGTTTAAAAATTTTTAAAAGTTCCCTGCGGACATGTACTTACCATCAGTTTTGATGTGGAAACACTGTGATATATAAATGTTGTTGGACAACAGTAGTTTAAAAATGAGTGGAATATAGAGGGTTAAAAAGAAAAAAAAACGGGAAAAAAAGCTAGCTATATCCTTATACTTATTGGAGACACTTTAACTTTTTCCTTTGTATTTTCATTGTATTAGATAAATAAATGTGAATGTAAAATTGTATAAATTAATGTACTTGAATACTTGTCTGTTCTCCCAGTATGCTTGCTGGATATTTTAGTGCCTTGGACTTCTATTGCTTCTGCAGTTAGCATCGTCTTCCCAGCAGAGCCCCGGGCGGAGAGAGGGCAAGTTCAGAGAAGGCCGGATTGCTGGTACCTAGCGACTGGGACGGTTGAGTTTATTTAGTGATGCCGTTACTGTTTAGAGTAGGTGTATGGATGGGGAAGTCACTGACGCGGCAGGTTGGAACAACCTTCTGCGTGTTGGGGAAACTTGTCCAGGCGGGAAGATCCAAAGTTGCTGTGTGACAGGGGCCAGGTGGGGGTGGGACAGAGGGCTGCGGGCGAAGCTAAACCGAGACTAACCAATATTGTCTGTGGAGGCAGGAGGTCGGGATCGGAGATGGAGAGAGGAGGGGGGAGAACGTGTGTCTTTGGGAAAGGCCCAACTGAAGATGCAGTTTGACTCCACCTGCGAAGTGGTAAAGATGTTTGGTCAGGATGTGACTTGAGGGAGAGGTGCCATTGCTTGTTGGCATGGGCTGGTCTGCTGGGATTGCTTTTCTTACTTTTTTGTTTTGTTTTGGTAAAATCCATTTAAGCCAGGAATAGACTGTCCTGGTGCAACGTCCATTGCCGGCAATGGATGTACTTGAAACCGCCGGCATCAAGAACTTCCCTCTGTCTTATTTGGAGGACTTACGATTTTGTTCACTCTGTGACAAATTTCAAGCTGGTACCAGGACTGTAACTATCTGTCACCTCTTAGTAACTGTACTGTACCTTCTGCTTTGGTCACTCTCCCTTTTCGTATTTAAAAAAAATACTGGTTTCCTCTTCAAAGTAAAAATAATACCTGCCAGTATTTATGTAGTGCTGCGCAAAGCTGTGAAGGATGCGAGGACTGCTTCCTGACCCTTGGGAGTAGCTCACCCGGATCCTGGAAGCCAGCGCACCACAGAGATGTTATTTGCCTGATTGTTTGGTTTTGTGGTTGGTTTTTTTTTTTTTTTTTTTGTCTGGGAGCGCTGTTCCCCCGTGGAGCCTTAACGGAGTTTTTTCTGTCTGAGGATGTTCTTGCTTTTTTATCTTTACAAAGAAATGCGCAAGATCTGTTCCTTTCCTGTCACTTTTTTTTTTTTTTTTAACAGCAGTTTTGGCAGCAAGGGCAGGTACGGGCTGGGGGTGAAAGCCAGTGGCGAGGTGGCTGGGCTCCGAGTTCCTTTGATCCAGGGGTTTATTCTGCGTAACTGGAGCTACACCAGTGAGAGGGGGCTCACGGTGGGCGTGAGGTAGAACGGGGAGGAAGCAGGCGTCCCCCTGGCGGAAGTGAACCGGGAACCTCTGCTCTTCCCTCCGAGTGGATGCAGAGAAGATTCCTGAAGGCGCGAGGGGGGAGGCGAGCTCTGGGAAGGGGAGCAGTGACAAACCCGAGGCAGTAATGAAACGAGGGGAATATTCATGGCAGGGGAACCAATCAGCTGAATGCAGCACATGGTTATTTAATTTTGATCTAATAAGTTTGAGGTCGTTTTTTCACTTAATGTTATGCAAGAACTGGTTTTATTTACCATTGATTGCCCCCCCCTCCTGTGGATGAATAACTGAAGTCTAGAGGAATAAACTAATGCTACTGAACTGTTAAATTATTTTGTTTAATATTACACTTTGAGTATCTTTTTCCACATAAAATCTGTTTCTGAATTACAAGCGTTTTCTTTACATTATTTAACAATGTACACTGTAAAAAAAAAAAGTAATAAAAAAATAAAAAAATATGAATTGAAACTTTGGGCTTCCCTGGCCGTAGTTAGTTGTATGTTTTGCACTAAACCCAGGCACTGCGCTTCTTGTACGACTGCGCTTTGTGCTACCATTTGTTACCTTTGTAGAATATTTCATGAAGTCATTCAAATAAACCAAACCTGCTTTTGTTGAGCTGTGGGTTTTCTTGTCAAACAGCAGGTTCCAACCTCCGTCCTGTTCCTGAAGTGATTTAACTGTTACCAAGTACAAGAAACCTGTTTTAATGAGACCCTTAACTTCTCAAAAGCAGTGAGCGGTAATGAGCCTTTGGCCTACAACGAGGTACTCCAAGAGATAATCCGTAGCAGGGATCTTCTGAGGGGCCTAAGGGGAAGGGAGGGTGAGGGGGTGAAGGACATGGCAGGAGCGTACCAGGGCTTTTGTGGCCGAGATGGTCGAGAAGTTACTGAATAGCAGAGGAAGGTGCTCAGCTGTGCCAGGCAAGAATTTGGCGGCTCTCCCTGATGGAAGCGTGGCTGGAGCTTGCCCAGCGTGGTGCAATGCTGGAGCTGAGTGTGCTGCGAGGGCTGGGGAAGCCCTGTCCCGGGCAGAGGGGCAGCTATGGGGTCTGCTCCCTCCTCTCTGGGGTGGAGGGGAGAAGCGGCCTGCGTCTGCCCTGCTGGGGAGGAGAAACTTCATCGTGTGGATGCGTAATGGGAATTCCATCCCCAAACTGGGGATGGTACTGGTCAAGAGTGGAACTGCTTTACAGGGTCACTCTCAAACAGCTGTGGACTTGCAGGAATTATTTGGTATTTCTAAACACTAATTGCTGCTGCATTTCTTTCCATTTTAAGAACAGCTTGTTATGAGTCATGCTGCTCAAGGCCTTAAAGGAAAAAAAAAAAGCTCCAAGTAGAAGTTTTACTGCCCTTTTCCTGAGAGGCTTACTGCGGTGACCCTTAGAGGAGGCATGGTCATGTTTGCACGGCTTCTGTAGAGTCAAGAAAGCTGATGCAGTTGTGTTTACAGGAGACTTCTAATTTTTTCCTTGTAGAAGTCTGGAGCAGCTTCGAATACGCGAATTGTGAATGTCTGCACATTCCCTTCCCAACAGGTATCTGATTTCAACAGCGAGTGCATGACTCAAACATGTGGTATGTATTTCTCCCCTAAGCTGTTCTGAAGGCAGCACTGAATTGGAGAGAAAGTGGTATGGTGGAATGTGAAACTATTTTCTACGTGTAATCTACTACAGTTAATTGTAATTTGTCCTATCTTTCCATCCTGAAGTCAATCCTTGTTCTTTGTCCTGCTGAGGGGGTAAAAGAGGATCTTTTAAGGAAAAAGGACCAATTAAGCAGTGAAGGTGAAGTAGGAGGAACAGAAATAAATGTTTAATATGCCAAATGTATTTACATTTAGGCTGCTTTGAGAGAGTTGAGCAGACAGAGCAGTGACGGCACAGCACAAGAACAAGGTCCTGCCTCAAGGCTGACGCTGATTTCAGGGTTGCTCTAATCACACAGTTTGTGTAAACTGTCCTGGTCCAGCTCTACCTCCAGTCATGCGGTATCACCCCCCCTGTCTCCAGCACTGCACTCCTGAAAAATACTGCTGTATCCACTTCGAAATACTGTTAAAAATTCTTCCTTTGACTTACTAGAAGGAACGGCAGTTGCTTTCCTCGAACCCTTAAAACCCACTTGAAGTTTTCTGTTGCCTATCTTAAAGCAAATACGAGGCTGTACCAACATGGTGGTGGTCTCTCTAGCTTCTTCCTTGTAACTTGTCAGAATGCATTAACTTCTTTGAGCTTGCTAAACAGGAAAGGAGTTGTAATGGTTTGAAGGGTATAGAGGCAGGAACAGCTACAAGAGGAGTTTGTTTTTCAAATTTTGTGTTTATTTTCATATTGAAAAGGGTTGAAAGCTTATTTAAAAACAACAGCGCAGCTCCTATTCATTTTACAAAGGGTCCGAACAAACGCTGCCCGAGATGCTATGCGCAACTCCCTGGCAGCAGTCTCGGCGTGCTCCTGCCCCTGCACCGCCCTGCTGCGCGGGCACAGCTGTGTGACTCCCGTGCGGCTGAGGGCCAAGGTGTGGAGGAGCATCGGGCTCCTGCCCTGGTCGTGCTGCTCATCAGAGGCAGACGCTGCCCCAGCTTCGCACCCTTGGCCTCACCGAATGGGAAACGGCAGCTTTGCCATCTGGCCATAACCCACCCTTGCCCTGTTTTACTGAAAATCTCTTTTCTCTGTGCTGAAATGCAACACTGAAGGAGAAAGAAGCTATGAATTGAGTCTCACTTGAAAGATTAATTCTGTTACCATTTCAGGCAAATTATGTGTAACATCAGCTTGTGATCCAGCCACAAGTCTAGTGTGGCAGAAGCACAAATGATTGCTTGTTTATAGAAAAAGGCATCTGAAACACGTAATTACCTAAAAGTACATTAAGTTCTTGCTGGCTGTATTAAACTCTTCTGTGTTGCGTCACCATAATATACAGGAAAATCCATTAATGCATTAGATTTCCTTACATAATTTGAGCAGCCGACTGCAGTCTTCTGATGTAATCCAGTGCGGAGGTGCTGATCCAGCAGGTGGCCTATATAGGTTCTAGCCTCCTCTTCTTCAAGCTTTGACTTCTGTGGGGGCTGCACTCTGCCAAACAGGGAGAGAGTGACAAATGGAAGGTTTTTTTTTTTAAAGCTTTTTTTTCTGCTTCTACAAGTGCCCCTCAATTCTTTTTCTAGCCCTTCCTTGACAGGACAGCTGGGTGGAAAACCAGAGTTCTCCTAGCCCATTATCACAGCACCGCAGCCAGGTCCAAGAAGAGAAGGCTGTTCCTCCCCCCCCAATTCACTGATGACAGTGCTGCTTTCCGAGCCTGGAGCCACTGGTAAGAGAGAACTTAGCCATTTTGTGGTAGCATGTACCTGGGGTGCGCTGGTTGGCGCAGCTGCTGTTGCTCATGATTGTAGCAGATGGCTGCAGTTGTGCAAGTCTAGCAGAAGCTTTGTGGTAAGGCATTCTGTGAGGTGTCCTGTTACGAGTAGTCATTTGATGACGTCCACGGGGTGTTTCTGGTGTCCGGTGTCCAGCTGATGGGTCTGCCATTTTGTGACCCGTTATCTTCAGATCAATGGTCTCCAAGGAAATGTCCCAAAGTTCAGGATCATCTAGAATGGATGAAAAGGTGATCGGACCAAAGATGACAGCATTGTACTACAGCAATGGCGGTAACTCCAGGACCAGCTCGCTCTTTTCCTACAAGCGGTGGCC